AGAATCACTTTTATGGAGAGTGGTTCGTAGCTGTGAGAATATTTCTCCATTAAAAGCCATATTATTTTAAACTAAGAAAAGACAAAAATTATCGTATTTTTACTTTCAATTAATTATAACCTTTTTCTAATGTCAAGTAAACCTAAAATTTTGATACTGTTACAAACTTTACTTAGGATATATTTCTAATTTACTCAACAATAAATGTAGGCCATATTTTATTTTCTGAGATGCTTATCTGATTGACTGTGAATTACTGCGAAAATGAATTACTTAAAAAAATTTTACGTTGTTGCGAAGCTGGCCTAACTAGTGGTAGAATAAAGGTCAACACGCAAGATTAAACTCACAAAATTATTATCCAACATACCTTTAATATTAAATGTCAGATTTATCAAAAGAAAAATGTATTGAAAGTTACAAAAACAAAACAGACCACCCTGACTAACTTTTGATCTAATGATCGCATCTTCACGTCCTAGCACTCAATCTTATTGGTTCGAGTGAGTGACCTCAAATATTCTAACTAATTAGGGCAAACGATAGTTTAAGTTACGAAATCAGGCACAAAAACGTGCTTTCTCTGAATAAGCAAAAGATATCGTAACGATATGCATCAATATGCATTGATGATGGTAAATTATTAAAATATTACATGTTACATGTTAAACATTATATACATATTAATAATGTAACATTATATGTTATATACATATTCGCATATATATAAATATATACTGCTCTCTTAGATTAGAATAGTTATAATCTAAATTTTCAATATTATTGTGAACAAAAGGGGGGCAACAGTATTTATTACCTGTGCAAAATCCATTTACATCTCTGTATCCCGAAGGACATGAACAATTTTTTGTACCATCAACATTCAAAGCACACATTGAGTTATCTCCGCAGTAACAATCTATAAATGTGAAGGAAATATGTTAGACGAAATGAAACACAAGTAACACACATGATATATATGCATGTATTAAGCACTTACATTGACATACTCCTATCGAATTCTCTGAATAACCAGTATTACATTCACATTTCAGTTTTTTGCCAGCGTCATCATACACGCATTTACCATGCTTTCCACAATTACATTCTGCAAAAATAAGAACATAAGTAATAAAATTTTTAACCAATTTTAAGAGCCGACAATAACAGTATTATATTAGGGAGTGTCATCCTAACACGAGACCCCTCATTTTCATCAAGAATCTTATCGTTTACAGTCTACGATAAGATAAATGTCTGAAAATTTACTGAGGAATTCTTGCTGAATACACAACTAGAAAGGGATGGAGCTGCTCAACTGTTTCGTTTTCAAAGTAAATACTTGCCTCATATTGAAGAGATCGCTGAAGAGAGTACTATTAGAAGTTCAACAGGTTCTATTGTATTACGTTACGAAGTCTGCTTTGTGTTTGTCCGAGGAATGGGAAAAACGTCTTCGCACGCTTCAGAACTTGTTTTGGTTAACCCTTTGGGGACGGGTGATTCAGAAAAGCATTCGTACAAAATCAGAATCAAGTTGTAATTAAAGAAAAAACGGTAACTTAAATGTAGTCGTTGCTAATTTGACAGACTTACTTTGCTTTTAATTTAATTATTGTTAGTTTAAACATATATATAATCAATGTTAATTCAAAGTATAACTAAATAGTTTTATTTTGAACAAAGGATTGGTGAATTAAATAAATCAAACAATTATTACTCCGCCCACAAATANAAACAAGATTGATTACCAGTTTTATCTTTTTACCCTGGTTGATACGGTTTTATGCTGTCACGTATTTGTGACAGTCGGCCCGAAAGGGTTAAAGTTCAGAGTAGATAAGAAAAAAAATTACGTTTCGGCTTTAGTTCGGATAACTATGCTAGTTACGTCCAAGCCTGAAAGCGGGACGGAAAAGAGAAAATCCTGGTAGAAGAACTATTTCAATATTAGATAATATTCGGGAGGAGTTAATCTATTCTCAACAGTAACAATTCACTGCTAGAAATTTAACACGGCGTAGAAGCAATTCAATATAAAAATTGCACCCGTTAAAAACAATTGGTAGTTATGGATTTTTATTATTCCCGGGAAAAAAATAAAAAAATGAAATTTATTTGTTACCAGTTTTTACTCTTTTCCGTCTCGATATATACCGGCTTTCACCCCTGGTTACGTCCCAAAAGGAAAAGTTGACACGTTGACCTTTCTATCACTCTTTACTTCTCACTTAAGAAAAAATAAAGTTCATTAACTTATGTTTCTGCTGAACAATAGACGAAATGTCTCGTTGTTACATTAATCACTATGTAACCTGTAGGTTCTGGTCCCGCTGAGATTTTGGATGCATCAATGTGATGTTTCTCATAAAATTGGACTATCTGTTACTCAATGAAGGCTTATAAACTAAGTCCACATATGTATGAGCTCACTAAATAACTTATGCGATAATTTAAGTCTAATTTCAGTAAACCTTGTAGTTAGTATCGCACTACATACTATCGCATGTCAGTGATATCGCTAGCATTAGTATCGTAGGGTTGCTAAGAACTGCTTGTTCACAAACTATGCTTTCACAAAACCTCTAAAGTCGTTTTTAAGCAGAGAGCCAAAACTATAATCTAAAGTGCTTGGAGGTTTGTTCTTTTTTCCTTTTTTTTCGTCTATAATTATTATTAAGGATGTTAACTTGTTGACTTTCAGTTATTTTTTACAATTCTTCAATTATAGATTGTAATTCAGTAGTTTGTACTTTAGAATAGACTTTCTGAACTTCTCACAACGGTTGTAAAATCGTTGACGAAGTCTATCAATTAATCCTAAAAAACTGTCTTTTAAAAAATATTTTTAAGAAATAGAATTTAGAAAAGCTTACTTTAACATAATAAATTTTAAATCCTTAAATAAGGACTCAATTTGAAATCCCTTTCCGGCAAACGGAGATAGAGCTACGGATTTTGAAATGTAATGTCTAAAATATATATTTTGAAGATTCAACTATCATATATTATTGTCGATTTCATTGTTGATTTAATCTGATTAAAAAATTTCCTGTTGGGTCCCGTTCTTGAAATAGAAAAGGAAACTGTTTCTGATTACATGAGGTGAAAGTGAGGAGGTTTTTAAAGTGTCTGTAAGACGGCGATACAAAAAGTACCGTACCCACAACCGGCCAGCACAGCGGTGAGGTATATCTTTCATCTAAAGGTGGTCACATTGATTAGAATCACTTTTATGGATCACTTGAGAACCGTGGTGGCTCAGGAGATAGAGCACTCGCCTTCCAGTGAGGTGACCTGGGTTCGAATCCCAGCGAGATCTGATCGATACGAATTCCGCATTCAGCTCGTACCGACCACGGTGCTGGCGTAAAATTCTCTGAGTGGTTGAATGACGTGGGTAAGAGTCCCCTTGCCGTCAGGCTAACCTAAGGAGGTTTTCGTGGCTTCCCTGACCAAATAACACAAATACGGATTAGTTCCTTAAAATACTCCTACATGGAGGTAGATATCTCTCAATACTTGATACAGGAGTTCCTTTGTCTTCTGGGCGGGGTTCAAAATTACAAAGGTACGGAATTGAGCATTGGAAGTGGGAAAATCAATACTGGGTCTGCTGTACAACGACGGTTACAAAATATAAAATAAAATATATCACTTTAGCTAATTAAAACATTTCCCATCATGCCATTTGGAAAAACCTTTCTTGAATTACGCAAAAGTTAGCAACATTGTTATCCCAAGATTTGAAAATAATAAGAAAAGAATTAGTGAAAAAAAAATTCGGAACAATATGAAATGTATTGTTACTGTGCTACCTTATACTTATTTAACTTTTGGTTTAAAAGTGCAAATTTTTAAAAAAAACACCAGATGTTTAAAGAAAAACATTTTTAAATTAGTTTACAAAAGAGTGTACAGCAGAAACGGATAAAATTTAAAATAATATTACAATTTAAAATTCCTGAACCACCACCGAAGGGAATACAATTTAAAAAACTATATAAAAAAGTTTAAAGTAACTGTCTACTCGTTTTAAAGTAACTAAATTAGCCTGGTTAAAAAAATTGTTTTAAAACGAACGTTTTTAAAATTTCAAAATTTAGTTATTCCATTCTATAATATGTTCCATCATTCCTGTATTTCAAAATACATTTGTGAAATGATATCGAACATAAAAAATATCGTTTACTAGGGACAATAAAGTCATTTCAAAAATGTGATTTCTTTTTATAAATTATTAAAAAATATTTATTTTAAATTTTGAAAACTCTGTCACTTTTTAAGAATGATACCAAAAATATAAAAATCAAACTTGGAGATGAATTTTTTGTTACGAGCTAATTTGTGAGGAAAAAGTTTGAAACAAAATGTTGAAAACGAAACAATATACTGATACCTACCAATGCAAGATCCATTGTTTAATTGATAATTATCAGGACAACTACAAATTGGCTTTCCATCTCGTAATTCACAGAAAATATTCTCTCCGCAATCACATTCTGTTTATGCAATAAAAAACATTCTACAATTAAATGAAAATAATCCGGGATAGTTTTATTAGCGAGTACTAATGTTATACATAAAAGTTTATATGCAAAATGTACAAAAAAAAAGAAACTGAAGGATATGAAGATATAACACAAATAACATATGTCTATTTTTAATTAACACAAACACATAGATAACACAAATGTCTATTTTTTAATTATAGTATACGATTAAAAAAAATTTCTAAAACTACGAAGAATCCATAGTAATCGGAGTCTCTGAGGAGTTGACCAAAAATAATTTGAAATCATTCCTGTAAATAATTAATAATAAAAGAGCCTATTGCTTCAAAATAATTTTTAAAAAAATATTTGAGTTTTTTATACGTTGTTTTGAATGAAAAATGTAGAATATGTTACTTGTAGATCTACTAGAAAGTTCCGTTCGCGAAAGTACATGCCTTATTTCACAGTAATTTAAAGAGTTATTTTATTTGCGAGGGTACTTATGCTTTAACTTAACCACTTGGGGACGGGTGATTCAGAAAGCATTCGTGCAAAATCAGAATCAAGTTATAATTAAATAAAAAACGGTAACTTAAATGTAGTCGTTGCTAATTTGACCAACTTACTTTGCTTTTATTTTAATTATTGTTAGTTTAATCATATATATAATTAATGTTAGTTCAAAGTATAACTAAATAGTTTTATTTTGAACAAAGTAATGGTGAATTAAATAAATCAAACAATTATAACTCCTCTCACAAATAAACTGCGAAAGAATTACTTTGATTACCAGTTTTATCTTTTTACACTGATTGATACGGTTTTATGCTGTCACGTAGTATTTGTGACAGTCGGCTCGAAAGGGTTAATAGTAGTATTATTAGCAGTCTGCACAAACGGCTAATATGTGACCCATTTCTCACTTCTGCCGGACAGAACTTAGCATGGGTAAAAAGCACATAATTTCTGAAAGCTTCAGGCATGATTTTTAAAATTCCATCAACAGTTTTGTCTTGCAAAAAAAAACTTCTAAAACATTTGCTGCTAAAAAAGAGATTGTTTTCATAGCATAGAAATGTTTCCATTATTTTAATCAATCCCTGTATTATTTTATCAACCTTTATTACAATGTGGTGCGCAATATTTCAAATATTACTTTTTTGATTTTGTCTTACTGTGGCATTCATTTTTGTATTGTTTCGCTCCTTTCAAGCAAGTACATCTGACGAACCCATTCCATGAATATTCACATTTTTTAGATAGTTCACCACAGTTACAATCTGAAAGACAATTAAAAAAATAATTATTATTATCGTCTTTAAAACAATGGATGATACGTAATACTTTTTCGGAAAAAGAAGTATATAACGCAATTTTTTAAACAAATGCAATTTAAAGTAATTTTTATGTCATTAATTCTATCACGAAATAATTTTACAGTTGCTTTAACTATCAAATAATCCTTTGCTACAAAATTTTATTTTATCAATTAAAATTTATAATTTTAAATCATGACTAAATTATTCATTCTTAAAAACTGTTAAGCGGAGGCGAACCGGGTTCGAATCCCAGTCTATGCGAATTCCGCATCCGGCTTACACCAACCACAGTGTTGACGTGAAATATTCTCATTGGTAGACGGATCATGAGTCCCCTGCCGTCAGGCTAACTGTGAGAGGATCTCGTGGTCTTCCTCTCCATGTAACGCAAGCGTGGGTTAGCTCCATCAAAAAGTTCTCCACAAAGGCAAATTTCTCCCATTACTTGATCCAGGATTTACCTTGTCTTCTGGATTGGGTTCAAAATTACGAGGCTACGGAGTTGAACATTAGTAGTCGTAAACTCAAAATTGGATCTCATGTTCAACAGTGGTTATAAAATAAAATGGAGGAAAGTGCTAAGACTCCTGTTTAAATCTCTAAATTGAGAAAAAACAGCATCTGAATTGAAAGAACAAAAATGATTTTTAAAAAATCTGTTTCTTGATTACAGGCTTAATAAAAGAAAATTTCGATGAAATTTTTGGTTCGGAATATTACAAAACATAAGTGCACAACATATTAATCTATTAATTATGCAGTCTCTTTTGCACATTTATAATTAATTCTTCAGATTTAAAAGACTTTTTTTTTACTATTCATGTAGCTATACTATTATATTTTACTGTTTTTTTAGTTTACCATTTGTTCACCTATATTGTAAGATATTGTGCAATTCTACATACTTACACTCGCAAATCTGTGTTTTTGGATTATATTTATAGTTTTCCTTGCAGAAGCACGTTTTCACACCGCCGTAGAAATCACATTTTGTCCACGTTTCAGGTTTTCCACACTTGCATTCTGAAATTATTTTTCTTAATTTAATATATAACATTATATTATTAACTTATTACGAGGCTCAGATGAATCGCATTTTTAATGTTATCATTCAATATCATAAACAGTCTAAAAAAATTTAAGTTTTGGAAATTTTGACTAAAATATTTATTGGATTATCGTTCAACAAAAAGATTTAATTAATAACTTCACCTGATTATAATCAGCAGCTAGGTATTTGCCATCGAAGGCGGCACCAACCAATTCATTCACAAGTGTCGAACTTAAACAGTGAACGTTTTTAAGTTTTGATAATATCTAGGAAGACGATATTAGTGAAGGGGCCGGGGTAGCCTGGTTGGTAGGGCACTTGGCCCATGTCCAAGAGATCGTGGGTTCGATCCCAGTCGGCCGAACACTCCCCGTGTAGTAAATGGTGACTGATGTACGTTAAATATGTCGAGTAGCAAAGTCCTCCATGTTACCATAACAAATCAATACCTCTGGGGGTAATGATCCAGGAGTTTCCTTCTCATCTGAATTGGTTCAAAAATACAAATCTACGGAGTTGAGCATTAGTAGTCGTAAACCCAAAATTGTGTCGGCTGTTCAACGACGGATATAAGATATTAGTGAAGAGGAAGAAATTAATTGAACAATCGAGTACTTGAAACTCGAGAAGAAGTGAAGTGATTTATACCAACCTCGTGACTTAAATCAGATTTAATTGGATGCCTGCAAGCGACGTCATGCGTGTTTGTCGAACCTGATTGGTTTCTGAATCGAAAAACCTCATGATTTAAGTACGATGACATCACTTACAATTGTCCAATTCAGTAGAGCTGAACTCTTAAAATTGCTAATGGTAGTTTTCCCATTCATTGCGTTAAGTAGTTCTTGAAGTACAGCAATATAATACTGGAATTTAGGTAAAAATACAAGTAAAGTCTGCATAACAAGCTCTATTTACATACCGGTGGATCGTATTAAACATTGAATAAAAAGACTGTATAAGTAAAAAAGTACATATTCTAAACAAGATACGTTTTCTTTTTTACGGAGGTAAAATGCATGTAATGGTGCGTAAATGTATAATGTGTTTTTTGTTCAGCATTTCATTTAGAATTAAAAATAGTATATCAAAAACAGTGCTAATACAGCTGTGACTGTCGAACGTTAAATCGAAAATAACAATCTTAACATTTCTTTCGACATTTGACGCATAAAAATTGCTCAAAATTCATACTCATTCCAAAATATAAGGTATGAAAGTGTTAGATTTGAATTATATTGCCTAAAAACGAATGAATTGATTTCGAAGTTTTCTTTCACCTTATGGTGAAGCTCACTTCTTGATGAAGGGGTAAAGGGCCACTTCGGAATTACGCACCCCGGCCAACTGGCACCACTGGGACTGATACGGGACGATGTCAAGCTATACATTTTCACTTCGATTGTTTTAATTGCAACTTGAGTATCAATTTTTATTTAAAAATTTCCTACGTGTTAAGCATTCCTTGAGTCTTATAACACAACGATTTAAATGTATCAATGTAGTAGCATATTATCTTATTAAGGAGTTTCAATTGAAATAATATATCATTCAACTAGGTCCAACTGTAAAGACAATAGGAAGCTTAAAGATAATTTGGACAAAATTTAAAAAATAAAATTGAATATTGGTATTTTAATAAATCAATGATTTAAGTTGTACTCTTTTTTTTAAAAAAAAAAAAGAAAAGAAAAAACAATAGCAACTTTTAAATTTTAGTCAATAGTACAGAGATAAAAATAATTTTAAAACTTCTGAAGGAGCCAGGATGGCTCAAGGGATAGAGGATTCGCAATCCAATGAGGTGAGCCTGGTACAAATACCTGCGAGGGCTGGGCGATACGAATCCGTCAGCCATTCGCATCCGCCTTGCACCGAAAACAGTACTGATGCAAAATATCCTCAGAGGTAGACGACTCATGACGCCCGGTGGCTGAGTGGTAGCCCCTCGCGCTCCCGTGCCACTGGTCCTGGGTTCGATCCTCGGGCCGGGCAGCATGTAAACTCTCTTTACACGCATAGTATCCCCAAGAGATTTTGAGCGCGCTGATTGGCTTTATCGACAACGCCATCTGTTACGTCTTTTTGTAGCTCCTTCCTAATAACATTTCTCCGTAGTGTGTTCCCAAAAAGTAAACCAATCATAAATCAGTTCCAGTATATTTCTCATACTAATTTAATTACAAATGTTGAAGTTTTGTTCAAAAAATTAAACAGCGCCATTAATTGTATTTTAATAATAACACATTTATTTAAATCTAATTTGCTTTAAATTTTATTATAATATTTTTTAATGTTAAAGTTATGAATTTTAGGTATATACAAGGTAAACAATCATGTTTTGCTAAAACATCAAATTAGTATAATATTAATTATCAAACATAAATTAAAGTTTTATTAGCTAGCTTTTATGTANAAACATCAAATTAGTATAATAATATTTATTAAACATAAATTAAAGTTTCATTAGTTAGCTTTTATGTAATATATATATATATATATATAAGAATTGATTAATATTCAAATTGAATAGCATTGTGAATATGAACTTAAAAATTAAAATCTCTAACTTAAATTTATTAGGTACGATTGCAGAACCACTCAGTTAAGTTTGAATTTATTATATGAAATTTCAAAATGTATATAAATAAATTTTTAAAATTATGTTTGATTATTTGAAAAAGATTTTATCATATCTTAGAGGAAAATATTCTGAAATGTTAAAAAAATGTAATCATAATTCAGCAAAAAATTGTAGAATTTTTTGAAAAACTTCTTTTACATTTCTCCTGCGGCACTTTCATAAACGCACTGTGGTGACAAACAAATAATTTCCTGCAATTAAATAATAAAAAAGATATTTACAATCCAATAGAAATGTACTGGAATTAAAAGAGGGAATTTTTTGTAAATTTATTCTTTAATTACTCATGATATTAATGTAATGGACAATTCATAATCATTAACTTTTATTTTGATGGAAATTATGCAATTAAAAATTAATAAAATAAGCATCTTTAAAGACAATTACTTAATTTCTTAGATGTCAATTAATAGTTTTTCGGTATTATAAAACATTTAACAAATAAAAAAAATCATTAAAAATAAGTTATAAATAGGTAGGCATAATGCAGATATCTTAGTTTTAATTTATAATAATAGATGGCACCACTAATAGATTTTAAATTAAAAATTTTATAATTTAATTTTAGTAATCCGCAATAAATAAATAAATATTAATTTAATTCAATGAACATTAATTTAATTAAATAAATATCAAGTGAAAACTATTCAGTGTTCATTTTATAGTGAGTATAAGAATTAAGCAAGGCAATTAAATTGGATTTCAATGTTATTCAATAAATTAGAGGGATATTAGCTTCATAAGAATTTCTGCATGTAATAATCATAAATTTAACGAAAAAAGCATTTCCCATGAAAATTAAATACAAACAAATATTTTTCCATGACGTTTGGAAGTTCTAAAATTCCATTTCGTATTGGTAGGTTCCCCTAATTCCATTACCCACTTGTTGCAATTGTCAAAATTTAGAACATTGCTTCTAAGGGTAATGGTATTTGAGGAAATATTTTTTGCTTCATTTTTAAATGAAGGCAGTTTCTCTTGAAAAAACTGACATTTCAAGTTTGTACACAAAAGCTAGAGTATAGAAATCACTGTATGATGAAAATAACAAGCATGGCAGAATGAAATAGCCATACATCACAGATGGCGTTGCCGAGAAAGCCAATCAGCGCGCTCAAAATCTCTTGGGGATACTATGTGTGTAAAGAGAGTTTACATGAGGCCGGGCAAGGTTGACTCAGTCTTTCATCCCTTCAGTTTGTCGATAAATGAGTACCAAGCATGCTTGGGAACTAAAAATTGGGTGTTTCGTTTTTGGTTGACCACCTGACCGGAACATCTGCTCCTGCACCCCAGAACTAAAGGTCAAGAAAACTGAGATGAGCACAGTAGGCCTTGGCCCTCTATGGGCAGTCATGCCACTGGGTTTAGCTTTAGATAGACGAATCATGGGCTAGAGTCCCCTTGCCGTCAGGTTAACTATGGGAACTTTTGGTGGCTTTCCTCTCCATGTTAAGCAAATGCAGGTTGGCTCCATCAAAAAGAGCTCCATGAAGGCAAATTTCTTTCAATATTGAATCCAGGAGTTCTCTTGTCTTCTGGATTGGGTTCAAAATTACAAGGCTCTGGAGTTGAACATTTGTAGTCGTAAGACCGAAATAATTGGGTCGGCTGTTCAACGACGGTTGAAAGTTACTTCCGCAGCCTATGCTGAAATTTCCGAAATGTTACGGTCCTTAGCGTGATTTTGCCCTACTGATCTTAAATTATGATCAAAACTCAACGCGGAAGAAACTATGACAACATCGAGGTTGCCTCTTGAAAATAGTTAAAACTGAAATTATAGTACGTCAGTGCGGGCAATACTAAAGGACTGGTAAAATTGGTTAGTGTATTTGAGGAGAAGGATTTAAGGAATTCGAACATTTAAATACAGTTGTGCTACTCACTACGCTTGGTTATCATTAAAGTTTATATGATGTAAAAGATAATTTTGAAAGGTATCCAAGCTGTTCGCCAAAAGGCAACTAATTTGATAGTAAAATGGTAAAAGAGTTATGTTTACCTTTGCAAGCATTACTTTTATCTTCATATACTTCACCTTTTTTTGGACATTCACAATAAGCGTTTAATTTTTTAACATCATACTTGCACTTGGCAGGAGCATCAGATTTGCAGCAACAATAGAGTCCTCTAACTTTAGCATACTCTTCATACAAAAAAGAGTTCCAGCAAGTCACGTGTATTTTTTCGCAAAAAGTTCCTCTCGTTCTTGGAGGGCATGTGCAAATTCCATTATGGCACGTTCCTCCATTTTCGCATATTTTTGATTCATTACACATTTCTAAAATGAAAAGAAAAATGAATTAAAATGATTGAATGAGAATTAAAAAGTCTTGAAAATAGCTAAGAAGCAACTAAGTGTTAATAACTTCCTTAATTTTCAATAAATTACAATGGGGGACAGTTTTATTTTTATTTTCTGTAGCATGAAATTCTTAAACGGATCTTAGAAATTATAGCCTGACTTATTTCAAATCTGCACTGATCTCTCTACATATTACAGATTTTATTTAATTTACTGATTTCAGAAGTTTTGTATGATATTTTAAGTATCCCTCAAGTGATTACTACTTCTCTGTCACGAAAGGAGTGGTAGGAAGAAGGCTATAACACATTTCAGTATATGATAAGATACGTTAAGGACATATTGCTTTGCCTTCAGTGGAAAGGAGCTTTCAAGTTGTATATCTATGAACATAAACCTATAAGCTATTTATAAACTTGTACATTCAGACAAAATATTAAACTAAATAATGCTAAATAAACTAAGTAAACTAAGTAATACTAAATAAATTGAGTAAACTAAGTGAGACTAAATAAATTTAAAATATATCTTTGAAAAAATCAGTAGCGTACGGAATAAAATAAACTTCAGATTTGAAACCCCCACACCAGAACTGGGTAAAATCTGGTATTTCTAAAAAGGAAACAGAAAATTTGTTTCCCAGTGTTATTAGTAATGTATTTTCACAATGCTTTTATACGATTCCTTTCGGGAATGGAAAAGAAATTTGATTTAGCCGATTATAAGAAAAAACAGCTTATAAATTATATTCTATTTTTAGGAAATTAACAGCAATTACTGTGTAATGTTCTTTAAATATTATTTATTTAAATTTTTTCAATCAAAATGCGATCACAACTATAAATTGGGAAAACATTACAGAATTTACGTTTCAAAATTTTTTTTGTCTTAAATCTTTTTAAAATAACAAATAATTAAAAAAAAGAGAAAGCGATAGAATAAAAAGATGCTTTTGGACTACTATTAAGATCAGCTCCTTTAATCTAGCTGCCAGGGCTCGAAAAATTCAAATTTTTTACATGCATTGAAGAATATATTATTCAACAAAATACAAGTCCGAACATCTTAATAAAAAGTATTTACAAGGAAAAAGAAATACACAGATAAGCAAAATTTTTATTTTAATTTAATAAAAAACTAAATTGAATAGAGTTTAGTGACGGCACTGAACTAACAGATCTTATCACCGAATAATTCTTCTAATTCCTCCAGCTGGTAGTTGACAGTAGTTTTTCAATTTGTCAGTTATAAAAGAATCTTTGTAAATATTTTATATTATTTTATTTCATGTAATCTTGAATATAACTTTTTTCCTAAAAATACTTATTTCAAGTCCTAAGTACTTGGAAATTTAGGATGCATTTTTCCAATTAAAATATTTAACCAAAGAATAGAAAGTAATAAAACATTTCACCGAGGAATAGAAAGAATTACATGTGCATACTTCATTTATTCCAGGAACATATCCGTCTTCGCAAGTGCAGACTTTCAAGCCATTTATAAATTCAGTTTTCGTTGAGTGGTTACCGCAAAGATTCTCTGAAAAAAAAAAACCTTATTCTAATACGAAAATAAAAGCATAGCAATACATAAATAAAGTTCTTGATCGTCAATTGATTCAGCCATAAGACATTTTTGTTTATATGCCGTCATTACATCTGTTCACATCTTAGATTGCTTCGAACTTTTATGGAAAGGCATCCATATTTCCCCCCTACTGGTTATTGATTTCATGCTTGTCATTGGATTCACAGACCTGGTCTGACCAGACTGGAGATTAGTAACAACAGTTCTTGTTCGTTATAAGGACATGTTTCATTATATGAAGATCACCCAACAACTCAAATGCTTGATGAATTGTAGCACCACAAATTTGTAAAAGATGCTGTGAAAACTCATTTCAACCTAGAAATAGTGCTTGCAATTACAGTTTATGCCCAGCAATTCTCCATGAGAACTTACCACTAGGTTCAAAAATGGTCAGGCAATGGGCAACGCCTGCTATAACTGAAAGCCTCCTAACGGTGCCTTACAAATAGTCCGATCAGATCACTCTGAAGGTATACTAGTTTTCGAAAGAGAAATTTATTCAAAAATTTAGCAAAAATAAGAAAGTAGTAGCGAATATATGAGTAAAAAATTTTTTAATTTAGGAATATGATTAGTTTTATTTATGAATATGATTATTTGTGAATATGATTTATGAATATGATTAGTTTGATTTATGAATATGATTAGTTTGATTTATGAATATGATTAGTTTAATTTATGAATCTGATTAGTTTGATTTATGAATCTGATTAGTTTGATTTATGAATATGATTAGTTTGATTTATGAATATGATTAGTTCTGATTTGCTCGTTCAGCGCTATAAATTCAATTCTCAAATACATATAATAAATTTCTCTCAAATACTTTTAAAACAGTAATTGGGTATATGCGCACAACTGGTTAACCTTTTAAAAAGTCTGCGCAGATTACTTATAAAAAACCGTTTGGAGGCTTTCTGATGTAGGAGGTGATGCTGTTTGTATGGGTGCAGACTCTTTTTCCTGTGAAAAGACTGCATCCAAGAGGAAACAAGAATCCTTCAGAATTCATTCACGAATGCATTTTCTTACAAATAGTTTGCATAAATGCACGTGAATGCAGAAAGGGAAGTCTTAAAAGTTGTTCTAATCTCTGAAAACATTGTAAGTGTTACGAACTGCAACCGTAACTCCTTATGCTGTCGAACTGCAACCGTAACTCCTTACGCAGAGAGAGATATGTATATGTATTCAGGCAAGGAAGTCGAACTTTCTCATCATCACTGAACTTGTAGACATTTCATTCATATTTCATTTTCATCGTCATGATTTGTTAATTAGAACAATAAAATGTTCTATTGTTATTCAAATTGGCTGTCGTCATTAGATATTTATCATTAGGTATATTGAAGCCAACCCCGGACCCATATATATATAAAAGGTTGGTCGTACTGTTTATACATATAGAACATAGCAAGGTAAGTGATACCTTTCAATGATTCATTTTTGGAAGTTCGTAGTGGGACCTTCAATCAAAAGTAACAGTAAGAGTTGTCCTGCCAAAATACAAAAAAAAAATAATTTTGGGAAATGGGGGCAAAGAGTAGGATATTGTATCACACGATGAAATAATTTATTGGATTGCATCGCCTGAAGAACATACGGGTTGTGATGGATTGCAAGCAATGGGATATCATTTATGGAATAGTGCAACTTGATGACAGCCAAAGCAACGAAGAACATATCCAAGGCTCTTCAAAACGTATAAAAATTTAAGTCATTAAAAGTAAACAAGGTATATAAGGTCGATTAGCTTTTAATATTTGGACATAGCTTATAATGCACGTTTAAGAAAATTGATACAACTTGACATTCGCGTTTAAAACACAGTTCGAAATGTGTGTTCAAGAAAAAAGGAGACTGATCAGCAAAATTCGTGTACCAGAAAATGGATGCAACTCAAAATGCTTGTGTAAAAAAAAGACAGATAAAATTCGCGATTAAGAAAAAAATATATCGCTGATAAACTCATTAATGCCCAGTCCAAAACGTGATCTTTAATTAAAAGAAAAACACTTATATGAACAAGTTGAGCATATATTTGTTGAGTGCAAGTTGATACTTTTCTCTACTATTTATCATTTTAGCACATTCTACTACTTAACACTTCCTGAAAAATCAATGCGCAACCAAATAACTTCAGATCGAAATACAAATGATGTTTTCATTGTTATCTCATGGTAAGGATATTTATTTTAGTTTTGGTAAAACAAATTTTAAAAACTAGTCACTTGCTATACCAATTTTTATTTTTTTTAATGTAACCATCCTTATGTAAGGTACAAATAGGTTAAGATAATAGACACCGCATTTGATCCCGTTTATGAAACAGCTACTTCAGCAATTGCATTTTAAAAAAGATTAACTGGAAATACAAATAAATATGCAACTCACAAATCTATACGTTGCCCAAAGTAAAATGAAACAGACAAGACTTCATAACTTTAATATAAAGTTTTAATAATAATGGAGTAGAAGGCAATCCAACTGTTTCAAAAGAATCACTTATAGATGCTACTTTGCTCCGCTTTTTAAAAAATATTGTCCAATTAATATCGAAATTTAAGTAATTTTTTTAAAGTTCTTTGCCACCACTTCATATTATAAATTCAAATTATCACATAAACAGATAACTAACTCATAACTTATCACTAACATAACTAAATGTATATGTTTTATTAGTGCTACGATTCCACCAACAGGCGTTGCGATTGTAGCTAATAGATCAAAATTAAATTACTTTTCTATATCGTAATTGTGTTACCCTTTGTTTTAACTGTGTTCAAAACTCATGATGAAAACTTATGAGGACTTGAGCAATAATATGACTATGTAATTATTATTTTTAATTCGTTACCAATTTACTAAAACTCTTGCAGAAAGCGAAGTAATTGCCATCCCTGTTAATATCATACCAACCGACAACTACGGTATTTGCGTAGATTCAAAAGATATTTTTCTTATTCATATTAACCTCTAAGAGACGGGTGAGTCATATATCATACCTGCCAACTTTTAATCCCTTCCATTATCATTTTTCCCAGTGGTATTAAAATGGAATTAAAACTTCAATTTTAAGCAAACAAATACGTTGTATTGGAGAAAACTTAAGTTGACAACCATGCTAGTAACGCATATTAATACAAGTGCTTCATTTTTGTAAGAATAGTGGTGATCAAAATCATTTAAAAATTAAGTTTATAAAAGAAAAAATAGTATATATTTACTACCACTTTAAATATGAAAATAAAATCTTCGGGAAAATCTAGAAGAGTTATGGCGACAATCTGGGTGTGGGCACACAGGGTAGTGACACAGGGTGGCGACAATCTCGGTAAAAAAGAGTAAACTGGTAGCCAAACCATTTTTATAGCAGTTTATTTGTGGGCGGGGTAATAATAGTGTTCTTTATTTATGCCACCAAGACTTTGTTCAAATTAAAAATTATAGAGTTACTCTTTTAACAAACATCGATTGGATTGTATTAGATTTAAAGTGAACGCAAAAATAAGGTGTTCGAAGTAGCAATACCCAAACTTAAGCTGCCGCTTTTTATTTTTTTCCCATCCTATTTCCGATTCGACATGAATATATTTATGACTCATCTGCCCCGAAAAAGTTAAAGGTAATGTCTTAATCTTTTAAAGAATTTTGACCATCACTATAAGGAAATCATCTCAAAAAGCAGTTTTGATCATCACTTCTGTAACTATGTAAATCATTTTAAAAAATTATTGAAATAATTTAACAAAAAATCTTAATTCTTAAATTCTGATAAAAATTTCATAAAAGTTTAAAAATTTGCATTAGTTCTCGAGCACAAGAAAAAATATTTGCTCAAAAGTTCATTTTATATCATGTGATTAAGATTTTTAGGGAATACTTTTTGTATGCCAGTATGTACCAAAGCCAATGTCTACCAGCCAATATGTACCAAGACAGAAAGCACCAAAAACAGATTAACTACAAAACTAGCATTTTTTTCGAGAAACATTAAATTTCTGTACTTACCGAGATTTTTTTACAATTACAGCATAAATATAAAACTGTTTCATCTTAAGAAAAAGTAAGTTATATGAAGAATGGATGGAAATGATAAGGATGACCAACGAACAAATTGAAACAACAACGAAAGTGCTCCAGAATTGCTCGCAACTCAAAACTCAACTTATGGAAACTCAAGATGCAGGCCAGAATTTAGAACAGAAAAGCGAAATGACAACCGATGCAGAAAATACAGCTAAAAATAATGCAGAGCCCACTCCAAAAGATCGGAAAAAGCAAAAGCAAAACTACGTTAAAATATCTAAAGAAAATTCCTTCACGACTACAAATAGCAGCCCTCCATTACTACTAGATGTCGCCACTTCCTTGCAACTTTCTGAAACCAATGTAGATCCTGACTTAGCCCAACCCAAGGAGGATTACCATGCAACTGCAGCTCCACCCTCAACTCCAGAAATAGATCTACCAATCATGCACATTAAAGTTCTAGTCCGTGGACTTCCAGTTGGCACCAATACAGAACATATCTCCCTTGAATTGGCCAAGACAGGCTTTATAACACAAAAAGTCATACAGTTTAAGAGAAAAGTGGGCGAGGCCTATCGGCTCCTCCCACTTTTTCTCACAATATTGATCAAAACAGATCAAAATCAGCAAATCTACTCAGTTACCGATATTTGTGACCTTCCCGTGAAAATTGAAAGATTCCGTGGCGGGAATAGCCCAATCCAATGTTACAACTGCCAGAATTTCGGCCACACTCAGCGAACGTGCAAATCTCAACCAAGATGTCTTAAATGTGCCGCCGACCACCGTTCCTTTCAGTGCCATAAAGACAAAACTACACCACCCAAATGCTGCAACTGTGGTGAGGCACACACCGCCAACTTCACGGGATGCAGCACCCCCCAACTATAACTCCACCAACAACGGCAGGTCAAGCCCATAGACTTGTCTCAATCATCAAAGAATTAAAAGAACTATTAAAAAACAGTCCTACAAGTCCTACAACTACTTCAAGCAATCATGCGTGAGTCCACTCCAGATTAAAGCCACTTTGACTAAACCTGAACTCTTTTTCGAACTTTTGATAATATCTCTAGTACTACGCATATTTATATACTTAAATGTTTATCACACTAGATGGCGCCACTATGGCTTAGAAAAATTTATGTTGAATCTTCATAATTTATAATTTTCATAATTATTATTTATAATCTTCATAATTTTCCCGATCATGTGTATACATGTTATCATCAATTTTTTATGCTCAATTTCAACTGCAATTTATGTAATATCACAGATAAAGCTTGTATCTCATGTATATCGACCTAATCATGGCTGTATTCACTTCTTTTTTAAAGGCAATTTATGTAAATCGTCGATTAAATTGTACAAATTTCTAATCATGATTATTTTTATGTTACCACACTGTTACATAAATCAAAATGTTATATTCACTGTAATAATATTTTTGAGATGAATGGGTTAGGGGCAGCTGCGTGGTCTAGGCACCCAGTTGTTTAAATAAAGCAAGCAAGAAAAAGTAAGATGCCAGGGCTTTGGACATTCTCAACGTAGCTGCACAAAAGATGCTAGATGTATGAAGCCCCGAGAACACACTGCGAACTTTACTGGGTGCGAGGCAGTACAGGGATACGAACAGGGATACTACTCCAACTTGCAGTGCTCATCGGCTTGTTAGCCTCATCAAAGAACTTCAAGAATTGATGAAAGATCAAGAAGTGCTAAACCTGGTCACGACTTTAATCTAGGGGAATACCCCTTCCAATTGATGTTCTACTGCCTGCAACTCATGCCTCACCTCATTAAGGGCTTAATCTGAACTTTAAGCTTAGAACTTTGAATCACATATGACCTTTTAGCTTTATGTTTCAACAGAATCGACGAATCTGTTAGAAGCGCTTCGCGCTTAATGCCGAGATTTCACTCATATCCAACATCCAGCATTAAGAAAAAGTAGACGTATTAATATTTCATGATGAAAGTGATAGGGAACGCTGGTCGTGGTCCGTGTCAGATGTGAGTAGACCGTTTGATGCTTCTTCGACGCTGATGCCATGCTGCTCTAGAATGCCGATAACTGATGCTGGTCATGCTCTACTGATGTCCTCTTCTCCCTTGCGATGCCAGTCATGCTGAATTGATACTGATTATCCTGAATGTTACAAGGTGAGTGATACAGATTTTGATCTCGTCAAGTTCCTGAGTCGGGAGAGATAATACTGACAATTTTGTTTTTTCAAGTCATGCCGTATCATAAAACAGCTCGTGGTAGAAAGGTCTCACTCTCTGGTCTTAATTCACCGTCGCATTGCAAAGAATCCATGTCATTAGAAGAAATCATTGCTACTTGTGAGATTTCAAAAAGATATTTTCCATCAGTTGAACATATTGACGTTTTACACTCAGTTTGATACAGAGGAGCTGATTCGTTTAGATAAATTGCTTAGCAAACTGCTCATTCAAATAAGATCAAGTTGCCCTGGAGACTTTGAATACTCATACTTCCTAAAACTGACAAATGCAGCTTATCACGTCAGATAGAAGAGGAAAAACTTTCAAGCAGAAGAAAATAAGGAGATGAATAAAAAATCCATTCAAGTCGAATCAATAATGACTGAAACTAATCCAAGCACTGGCGACACAACCATGGAAAATAAAGATGAAAACCTGAATACAACACCAAATACAGAAACTGACACGGACATCAATATTAACAATAATACAGAACCACCAGCAAAGAAGAAGTCAACAGCGCTTTTAACAAGATTATCACGAGTCCTATAAATTTATAATAGTGGTACTAAATTACGAATTTAGATTTTCAAAAACTACTTCATCGTGTAGTAGTTTGAATAAAAAGAGATCCCCTGAAAAGTCAAATATACCCAGTCACTCCGATCCCGATGTTCGAGACTTTGCCCCGTAATGATTATGCTTGGGGGATAAAAAAGTTTTAAAAATAAATATGAAATCCATAGATTGCTTGTTAATTAGGGTTAAACATTGGTTAAAAAGAAGCAATTTTTGCTCCAGAGATGCCAACTTGCTCCGGAGAGCCAATATATATTTTAAAGTGGTAGATTATCAATTGTGATTCTTGATTTAATATATTCAATTTGGTAGATTTTTATTCACCACTATTTCTAAACAATTCGTAAGCGTGGTAATTATGCCATGCTATACCTTTTTAAAAGCAAACAAAAACAGTCCAATGTTTTCAAAATTTTACTTTGTGGTTAGTTACCGTTTTTTTAATTATTTTGGCGAGTTGGGGCATCTCTGTATGCTGTATACTTTTCTTAAACACGTATTTTGAGCTGTGTCCACTGTTTTAAAGATGCTTTCTGCTGAGCTGTTTCAATTTTCTTCAATGCCCCTTTCGAGCTGTGTACACTTTCTTAAATACGTTGTTTGAGCTATTTCAGTTTTCTTAAACATCCATTTTGGAACTGTTTCTATTTTTCTTTAACATGCTTTTTGAACTGTTTTAGTTTTCTTAAACACTCTTTTTGAGCTGCATGTGCTTAATAACTTAGTTCCGAAATCACTTTTTTTTTTCTTACCCTGAAAATGTCACTTGATTCATCCATTTTGCTCTTACAGTGTCATTTGGGTTGAAGCAGCTGCTCTGCACGCGCCGCACCTAGTCACGCTAAATATTGGACGTAAGTAACTTTTGTTGCCTTCTCTCTTTTAATTTCTCCGTGAATCATAGTCACCGCGGGTTTCACCTATACCAAATCACGGTCAGACCACCTATCGAATGTGGTGCCATCTATAGCGATATCTATACCTAATGTCTTCTTCCTTTAATTTGAAGTTTCGTGAGCGCACTTAGTGTTACCTGTACTCCCTCGATGACCACTATGGGGTCGGGTGAGGGTTAAGCTACGCTTACAGTGTTATTTATCGTGTTTTATTTTTAAAAAAAATAAGTTACTTTTTACAGATAAAGGTGGTAGCACAATTATTTCATTATTCAGCTACTTTGCGCAAGCATAAGTGTTTCTTATCATTATTTGAAAATTAACACAGTAAATAACTTCAAACTTTATTTGCAAACATAAGAGAGATCTTGCCAGTTTTTTAGAAGGTTAAGCAAGGCATATCTGAAAAAAGTGGCGAATTATTTAACATTACAAATTGTTTAGAAATAGTGGTGGATAAAAATCTACTGAATTGAATTTATTAAACCAAGAATCACAATTAATAAACTACCACTTGAAAATATTTACTCACTGTCTTGAGCAAGTTGGCATTTGTAGATCACTAAATATAGTGTAAACTATGAGTCTTGGCTTATTAATTTTTGGTGGTCGCATCTGCTTTTTTTAACCACTGAAAAGATTTTTTTAACGAATATGATGACCTAATATTATAAAAGTAATTTAATAATTTTCCCTTTGTTTTAAATTTTTAGCGTCAGAATCTTAAAATTTTTTATACATTTAGTTAAAAAAATTCGGCAATTAATATACGTATCTTCCTATTTTCTTTCTGTACAGCTACAAAAAAATGAAAATAACTTACCATCTGCTTCAAGGACAACATTAGAAATATCATAATTATATTCCTTTCTTGAGTTTTCATTTTTAATTTCTATATCGGTATATCTATTTGGCATATTAAGTTCTTTTCCATAGTTTTTTGAAATGCACACCACAACCATGTACAAAACAAAGTAAAATATCTTGCAAGAAATCATGTTTTTCAAAAAAATAAAGTTTTAGCTTGATATATATTTTCGAAACTGAAGTGGGGAAGTTGGACGAAAGGTGTTCATCAAAATGCAGTGTTTAATAGAAAGACTGCAATCAAAGAACAAAGGGTTTTATCAGAATGGTTTTTTTTATCTCAGTTTATATCTTTAAATCAAAGATAAAGAAAAAACAGTTATTGAAAATATTTGAGTGTTCTTACCGAGAAAGTTTTTTTTTTTCAATTCAGTTTATTTAGTCTTTTATTTTTAGACTCTCTGGGAAGCTTCTGGTGATTTTTGGTAGATGTCACATGGACAAGTCTCAAATAGATCAGAGTAATTGAAAGCATATAGCCTGCGTGAATACTCTAGAAAATGGCATTCTGAAAAAATTTGATCCCAATGAAACGAATCAACGACAGCAATGAGAAATGATTTGGAAAAGTAAATGATTCATCAGTGAAATATCGGCCTCGAATGTCTTGTAGTTGACATTCCTTCAAAAGTTGTTAGAGGTGGGAGGGAATGCGAGAATTCTTCCACTATGTTCACCAAGCCCTGATGTTAAATGAGTTTAATATAAGAAGGGCGGCAAAATTCTACGCTTTTCATAATAACTCTTACAGATTGATAAATAGTCATATATATTTAAAATTAAA